GTATCGAGGAGTGAAGAAAATCAATTCAAAGTTACCCCAACCGACGTAATTGGCAAACTTATCACTACTAGTGTAGAAGCATCAGCAAGTTATGTACCTTTCGCACAATTAATAGAAATATTTTTAAAATTAGGTGAAGACATTGTAACATTATATCAAAAAGCTGAACATAATAGGCATTTATGCAATTTTTTAACAAAGCGAGTGAATTCAGCTGTGGCATCTATAAGAGATTTAGAAATTCGAAAATTAGATAACGCTGAATTTTTTGCGGAACAATCTAATCTTCAACTTCTTAAAGATTTTTTAAAATGTATGCTTGATATTAGAAAATTTATTACAGATGTTTCTCAGCTTGGTGCATTTGGTCACTTCTTTCAAGCAAATAATATTGTAAAAAGATATAAGGATTTGTCAGATAGGTTTGATGGATACATGTCATCCTTAAATTTTGCTATGTCATATCAGGCTAATAAGGAAGCGATGCAAATTCTTCAGGCTTTAAATCTCGATACAGATTATTTAAAAAAACATGCAGAGGAGATGAAACAACATAGTTTGGAAACTAAAAAAGATAGTTTAGAGTTACAGTATGAAGTCAAAATTATTATGGCAGATTTAGCAGAAATGAAAGAGGTAATGTTATATTTAAACATGATAAAAAATATAGGCATTTATTTCGAATTAATGAATAGTGATAAACTAAACTATTCCATATTTATTACAATTTATAGTTTATGCGTGATATGTCTGATAATAATAATAGTTCAGAGTCCTTTACAAAAATCAAAAGGATTAGGGATTTAAATGTTCGTTATCAACGAGAACAACGTAAAGGTACCGAAATAACCATCGAGCCACTAGCTCTATTAGACATGAATAAATTTGAACCGAGTTGTGAAAAGGAACCTCGTAAAACGATTCATTGTAGGTGGAGCAATGCATTCCTTTTAGAATGTGCATTTAAAGAATTTCCGTACATCAATGATGAACAAGCAGAAAAAGAAATTCGTCAACAAGTTGCTATCTTGATAGAATTACAAAATTCCGAACATATTATTAAGTTTTATGGTGTAGCCAAATCTGATGAGTACAAATATTATTTAGTTTCAGAGTGGATGGATAATGGTAATTTGCAAGAATATTATAAAAAAACTCCATTGGATTGGAATAAAAAATTTGAGTTTGCCATTGATATTTGTCGAGGAATTGCATTCTTGAATGCTGTAGAGGTATGCAATATTTCTGTTCAATAATTTTATATATATTAAACGATGATTGTTTGACTAATTTGTATATATTTTCATAGATTTTGCATCATGATATTAGAGGTGCCAATATATTAATAAATAAAAATCACAAAGCTAAAATTGCTAATTTTGGAGTAAGCCGTAGGTTCAGAGAGCTTACCAGGAATATTCAAGTTAATCTTGAGAACGTGAGATACATGGCACCAGAAAAGTTAGAAAAAGGCGATAAACAACGATATAATGTTAAATGTGAAATTTATAGGTACATTCAAAATATCAAAATGTCATCAAATTTATATAAATTATTTTATTTATATAAGTTTATTTAATTTGGTTTAAATTAATATTATAGTTTAGGAGCTCTTTTATGGGAAATTGCTGAACAAGAAGTTCCTTATACTAGACAAGGAATGGACTTGCAAAAGATTCGAGATCGTGTTGTTACAGAGAAATATCGTGAACCATTTTCTCCAAATGCACCCAAAATTTGGCAGGACATAGTATATGCAGGTACTATTTATTATCAATATATTTTATTTAAAATTAAATTTAAATTTAATAATAAATATTTAATTATATTAATTTTTATACATATTTTTTTATACATATTTAAAGCTATGAATCATAATCCAGATTTTCGTCCACCAATTTCTAAAATATTCAGAGAACTCTATAATTATCATCATAGAGATGAGAAAAAATATCCAACTACTGAAGATTTTGACGATACTTTTGTAATCGATGATGACGGTGATGCTTTCATGACTGTGGATGCAGCAATTGAAGAACACCGAAAAACCGACGGAAATAAGCGAAAAGCATGGGATTGCTTTTGTCGCCATGCTGAAGATGGTGATATAATAGCGAGATACTGGGTCGGTTACTATCTCTATCATTCCATCCTACCTGAGCATAAAGAAAATCGTCAAGAAAATCTTCAACGTGCAGCCAAATTGTTTAAAGAAGCAGCTGATTATGGTAAAGTTGAAGCACAACTTCGATATGGGTTCTGTTTATGGCAAGGTGATGGTGTTCCGACTAATTGGGTTGAGGCTATGAAATATTTAAAATTAGCTGCTGATAATGGAAATCCTACCGCTATGTATAATGTGGGAAGTGCTTATTGGATTGGAAAGGGAGTAGAGAAAGATCAAGAAATTGGTTCCAAGTATTTGAAGATGGCTGCCAAGAAAGATCAAAATAATGCTATTAATATGTGCAAAAAACTTGGGATTCCTTATAATTAAAACATTATACAATAACCAATTGGTGATGTTCAATACCATATAAAAATATGCAATATAAGTGTGATGCTGAGCATCAATATATTTAGAAATTTTTGGAAAAGACCGTACATATATTTTTTATTATTTTTTATTTAAATTTATAGGAATTTAATTTTTATGTAAATATAAATAAGTTTAGTTATTATCTATTGTTGATACACACATACTAGAAATAAATTAATATTAAATTTTTTTTTATTTATAATTTTATTGATTAAAAATTCTAATTTACAATTTGGTGATATTTTAGTCATACATCAGGAAATTTTTTTGCCCGATTTACTGTATATCGATATATAGCAGTTAATCGATATATATCAATTATAAATTATCAACATATAGGGTTGAGTCAATAGAAATCAAGCAAATTTTTTCTAAGTAAATTTTTTTGAAGCTTTAACCAACAATAACTTAGCAAAAACTTTATCAATATTAATAAAAATTTTTTTAAAATAAATATTACAAATTGTAGAATTTATTTAAAAAATATTTATTAATTTGATAAAGCTTTCATTGAGTTATTGTTGTTTAAAGTTTTATAAAAATTTTAATAAAAACAATTTGCTTGATTTCTATTGACTCACCTCCATATATTAATTAACTGCTATATATTGATATATATTACTAATGATATCTGCTTTTTATATCTTTTAAGAAAACAATTTTTTTAACTTTTAATAGTAGTTTGAAACTTACTAATACCTTCTTTACTACTTTTTCAATTTTTTTCTATAAGTTTTATAAGGCTGAGTATTTTATTAAGTAGTCAAAATCTTCTGAAATTTTTTTCTAAACACAATATAATAATTACTTTTGTATAGTTCTAGCTTTTGTCTTTTTAGTTTACTCAATATTAGCAGACTATTAATTAAATATTTTAATCTATATAATCAGGTTTTTGTTATCTTTCATCAACAAGCAATTTATTTCTTTTTGTTTTTTAAACCTTTGCAGTAGCTTTTTCTAATTATATTTGAGCTTTTGACTATTTTATTTTTCTTTTAATAAGTCTATTCTATATTATTATACTTTCTTATTAATTTTGTAATAAATTGTTTAACAAAGTTTTTATTTATATTTGAATTTTATAATCAAAGTTAGTACAGACTAGTTAATGATCAAGCTTGACCAAACTAATTTAACCAATTTGACCAGTTGGTCAAAGAATTTAGTATTAGTCAAATTAGTTAAATTTTTTTTTTTTCTTTTAACAGTCACATCATAAAACTTTATTAAGTTGTTAACTATAGCTGTAGCCAAGTTATATATAATTATCTAATCTACTTAATTTCCTAAGCTTGACATCACCCAGCTGCTACTAGAGTGCTCAGGTGCGACCTGTCACACTAGCCTAATGGCTAGAACAATTTTGTCTAACTAAGTCAAAGAAAACTCCACCAACTTCCTTCTCCTCCTCTTATTCCTTCTTTAACTTCTTTTTCTACTACTAATTCTATCTATTTCTTTTTCTCTTCTCTTTTCTTTTTTTTCCTCACAAGTAATACTTTCCTTTCTTCATCTGTTCGAGTTCTCTCTTTAGTTTCTTTTCTTTTGGTTATACTTCTTTTATGCTTCATCATAATTGCTTCTTGCTTTTCCTATTCAATCACTTTTTCACATCACTAGTTTTATATTATTTCTGCGAAGCTTCTCTGCGTAATAAAGAGGATACTATCTAACCAAACTTTTAATATATCCTTCTCCTGAACTAAAACCTGAAGGTCTTCTGCTATCTTGTATTCCTCAAGTCCAATTAGTAGCTACATTCTTCATTGGTATCTGCTCTCTTTATCTTTTGGGAAGATAATCTCTTTAATTTCTAGTAGAGGAAGTAATCCAAGGTTCTCTTCTACTTGAACCTTGCTAATACCTACTAGGATAGCTTCTTCAATTTCTTCCCAAGACTCTTGCAAGGCAGAGCACTGTATTAAGTGATCTAGATCTTCAAATAATCCTTCATTACATAGAATACAATGATCTCTTAAATATAGTTCAGGCTTGCATTTTTTAAGCTCACTAAGTGTAGGTAGACTATTTGTTAAACACTTAATTTGCATTGCCAAACTTTTGCTATTTTTTATTGAAAGACAATTTATTCCTCTTTGTCTTTTGATCTTTTGCTATAGCTTTTTCTAATTGTACTTAGCATTTTCTATTGGATTATCTCTTCTTTAGAAGGCCTACTCTGCATCATTATACTTTCTTATTAGCTTTGTTAAAAAAAGTTTTACTGAGCTCTTAATCCTATTTGACTTCCATGCTATATCATACATGTAGTTATTACTTTTAACTCTATTCAGATCTAAAGTTATATGTGA